CTGGCATCTTTGCCTTTAACACTTTAAAAAGGACTTGTTCAGCAGATTTGCCTAATGTAATACATTGTTTGAGTTCTGGACTGCTGCTTCCATGAGTCTTGATGGTTGATCTGAGCAAAATGAACTATTTGACAACTTTAATGTTTTCTCCAATGATATGAATGTTGTTTATTGGTCCAGTGGTGAGGATTTATGTTTTCTTTACATTGAGATGCAAACAATACCAAAGGCTGTGGTCTTTGATCTTCATCAATAAGTATTTTAAGTTCTCTTGGATTTCAGTAAACAAGGTTGGATCATCTGCATATCGCAGGTTGTTAAAGAGTCTTCTTCCAATCCTGATGCCACATTATTTTTCATATAACCAAGCTTCTTGGATTATTTGCTCAGCATACAGATGGACAAAAATTCGTAGCATAATCATAAGTCTGTTTTGTTGTGTGTTTTCTGTAAAAACAGTGTTTAAACTAGATTGGAGTAAAACCTAATTGAATATAATGCTAAACTTACACAATGGGCATGAATAAATGCAGATAAGCACAGTCCTGTTGAGGTAGTGATCTAAATAGTGAAGTTCATGAGGATAAGGACATGAGTAATCCCCAGTTTATACTGGGGTCAGCAGACTATGACTCACAGTGTGCCAAATTTGATCCTTACTTGTCTTTATGTGACACTGGGTACTTTCAGGGTGGTATGACTGTAAACAGCTCACTTGTTTTTATAAATAAAATTTTATTGACACATAGCCATAACCATATATTTACATATTGCCTATGACTACTTTCTGCCTATTACCTACAGAGTTGTAACAGAGACCTCATGGCCCACCAAGCCAAAGACACTTACTATCTATCCTTTGAAAAAAATAATATTTGTATCTGCCCTACTGTGTTTACTACTTTTCATATTGTCTGTCATATTGAAAATGTAACTTTGGGTTTTATCCACACAAGCTTAACCCTTAACAGATCAAGTCATAGGACTAAGATTGAAATGATGAAGTAAACTGTACCTTATCTACAAACACAATAATTCATGTATTTTTTAGTATCAGATAACCTTTTAAATACATTTTAGATAATTAAGGTAGATATTTAAAATATGAAAAGCAAACATCAAGAAGAAATCAAACCTTTTTCTCATTAAAGCATTAAATGTACTATTATCTATTGTTGTTGTTAAGTGCTACTGAATCAGTTCTGACCCATAGTGGCCCTGTATAGGGTTTCTGAGGAGCAACTGGTGAGCTTGAACCTCTGACTTTGCAGATCAAACAGCTTTGCAGTCTGGTGCATTAACCCACAGCACCACACAAGGACTTCTTATTATCTACTGGGTGATGCAAAATACATTTTTATGCATTTTAAGCTTTTATGTGTTTTATCTAAGCATTAAAATATTCTTGATGTATTTAAAACATATCTATCAATGGAACAAACCATATAAAATAATGATTTATTTGCGGCTAGAGATCTTCAAGATCAGAGTCCAAGGAATTTTTATGAAGGAGGTTCAACAAAATGGAGGGGTCCCAATGTTCTTTTTAGCTGCAATTATGTGACTTTATGTGACCCAAGCCAAGGTATTTTCAATAACCTCCTATGCATGCGAAAGCTGGACAGTGAATAAGGAAGACTGTAGAAGAATTGATGCCTTTGAGTTATGGTGTTGGAGGAGAATACTGAAAGTGCCATGG